ATGCGAATTTTTTATATGCGTTTTTCTGTAGAACTTATCCACCGCATTAAACGAGACTTTACAGTACTTTGGTAAAGAATAACTACTGAATAATCAGGATAAACTAAACGTATGCCAGACATCCTAAGGCTGATAACGTGTAAAATGATGGCTGCTGAAAAAACGTCAAAGATGAAGATATATATACAGTAGAGCGTCGTTTATCCGAAGGTCGATTATCCGAAACGTCGGTTATCCGAAAGAATTTCAGTCGGCAAATTTAAATTTTCGTCAGTTCTTTGGCGCTGCAATCTTTGGCTATGTCTTCGGCTACTGAAATATTTTACGTTTTTGATACTAAATTAACATCTGAAGTATAATTTTTTATTGTTTTTATATTTTTCAATATATTTATTTTGTTTTTACAAAATAGAAAAATAATTTTCAACGATACAATAGTATTCGTTAAGCTTCACATCGACGAAAATTCAACGCGAAGCGACACGTAACAAGGAAAATTTTAACACGGGATAAATTAATATATTTTTCCGTACATAATTGGTTAACCGAAAAATAAGTTATCCGAACAACCCCAGTCTCCAATTAATTCGGATAAACGACGCTCTACTGTATTAGAGTTATTTGACGAATTAGAATAAGATGGTATCGCTCATACTCAAGAGAATGATTGCGTACAAAGCTGACTAAAAGCCACTGACTATAGTATGTGCAAAGTATTTGGTGGATTAAGTCGAAAAAGGCTTCATATGAGTCTTTTTCACGAAGGATTGTGTCTTAGTCAGACCAGTTGTGACCATGTGAATTAGTAGTGGTAAGCAATATATGTCACTCCAAATTAAGCATGGGGCACTCATAAATGTAGTGCACATCTGTAACACCACACAGGGAGCATATTGAGCTGGTTGCGTTAACGAATCTCGCTAGATAAGATTGAAAGCGTCCATGGCCGGTAAGAAATTGCTTAACAAAACTATTAGGTCTGTACCATTTGCACGTAAAAAAGGTCTTGATACAAGATATGAATCTATGAGTAATAGGGTGGTTATGTTGGTCCCAGGTGTTTTGCCAAGTTAATAGGAGATCCTGCCAGAGAATTCTTTTGAGAGTACTGGTGCTGATTTTATCATAAGAGATATTAAGACTATTATTGTTGGAAGCTGCCTTAGCTAAGGCATCAGCTCTTTCGTTACCATGGGTACCTCCTGTATGTGCACCAGTAAATATAATATCGATTGGAAGACTTGGAAATGAGAGTGTTAATGTCATAAAAGATTGGGTGAAAGAATTCTTTACGAAAGATTGCAATAGAAGAAGTGCTATCAGTGATGATAGCTATTTGTTTATGATGGGCATTGTTAGCCCAAGTAATGGCCATTTTCAAGGCATAGAGTTCTGCTTGAAAAATCGTGCATTGTTCACCTAATCTGAACTGGCCCTGAGTAATCTGGGCCAGTTTCTGGTAAACAACATAACTACAACCAACCTTTATATCTATTTTCGAATCATCCGTATAGATTTCGTAATCGTTGTAAGAGGGTTGCTCGAAGACAATTGACGGTGTGGGCGAAAGGGCCAAAGATTGTGAATAAATGGCAAAAGAAATTTCTTGCTCTAAATCGGTATGACTTATTTGTTGGCTGCTAATATAAATATAAAGGCCATGCTTTATTTGCCATTGTTTAAAATAGGAGGTGATGATAAGATCAATAGAGGCTTTCTTAGCCAGAACTTGAATAGAGATATTGGGCGTGGTATTGTAGGCCTTGGTGATTTGAATAAGAGCTCTACGTTGTGACGAAATAAGTTTACGCTTTATATGAGTCTTATAAACATCACTTTTTCAAATTCCACAAGCGTAAGTAATGATTGGAATATAAATCTGATTATAAATTGCATCCATCGCCTGAGTGGCAAGTCCCCAACGACCTCTCGCAATACTTGCAAAAGCGTTAAAGATTTTTTCTGTACGTTGAATTATGTATGAATTATGTACGTTGAATTCAATATGTGAATTCCACAAGAGGCGGTGGTCCAAGATCACGCCCAGATATTTAATAGTTTTAGATACTTTTACGGTATGATTACCCATTTTAATGCAAGGAGTACGAAGGTAAAGGTTTTGATGGCCAGGTTTATTAAATTCTATATACTTTGTCTTGTTAGGATTAAAATTCAGTTTATGTTGATTTCCCCAGGTTATAATGTTATTAAGAATAATATTACCGCACTGCTCAAGTGCTGAACGAGATTGACCACCATAAGGTACCAAAACATCATCATCGTAAGCTATCATATTATGTTGTCCGAAGTCTTGAGTAAGAAAAAGATTAAATAGAACGTTTCATAGAATGGGACCACATACCGAGCCCTGCGGGCAACCGCGGACAACTTTGCGAGAAACTGTGTGCCCCCCGCATTGAAGTGTAGCAGTGCGGCCATTTACGAAATCCTTAATAATATAGAATATATTGGCAGGGCAGTTCAACTTTTAGAGGTTATTCAATATTAGATGCCACCAGGCAGAATCGAATGCCTTGGCGATATCGAGACTAGGGTTTCTCAAACGGGATCCCGGGATCCCGGTTGTTTTTTTAACCCGGGAAATATCCCGGGAAATCCCGCAAATTTCTTAAAAATTCACTTTTTTTCTTATTTTGTGTTAAGGTTGAGGAATTTTGCAAATAGAAAGCATAATTAACTCATTCACTGTCAGAATACATTNTGTATCCATGTACTTTTATGTACAGTAAAGACTACAATGTGGCACCCAGTCTTTACTGTACTCCATTAGGTTACAATAAAATATCTATCTATCTATCTGTATGTATCGATGTTAGTCTGTGAGGGTGCATGATTTTCTTCATCCTGTTTGAAACTTAATAACTCCTGCTCTTTTTGTCGAAAATTTTTTAAATTTTGCTGGAAAGTTTGATTATTAGGGAAATTCAGCTATTAAATTTTGCTGTATAAAAATGAATAGGGTGGAAGGATAGTGAAAGGGGTCATGTGTATCTTTAGTAGGGTCGAAATTAATCATAATTTTACTCACTATTCGTATTTAACTTTTTTATATTAAACTCGTCCCTACGTTCAAAAGTTAATTATTTGCCTTTCTATAATAGTTAAAAAGATCATATATTATTTAAAAAACGTTTTATTACAGACAGCGCCACCAAAATTTTAAAACGTTGCCGGGAAAGTTGAGCAACTCGTTACTTGTTTATATATTATAAATGATTATTCGTGATTGTAATGTATTGTTTGCATATTGTTTAGCCTGTCAACAATGAATTCTGCACTGTGGACGGAAACTTTAACTGGGATGAAATGAACATCCAAAGTAAGTAACATGTTACTTAGTTCAGACTTTTTATGTTAATACTAGCAGACCCCGCAACGCGTTGTTGTGGTTCAAAATGTATCTATTATAAATGTATAACACTTTCCCTGTGGGGGGGGATTTTACGAAAAATTTTTTCTTAGTGTACATTCTATTAACGTACCTGATTAAAACGCAATCAAAAACGCAAAAACCCGCATCCAAAATAATATAATAGAAGTCAAGTTCTTCACGGAAAGCCTTAATTCTGTCCCTCTCCCCGTGGGGAAATATCGAAAAATTCCTTCTTAGTGTACATTCTGTTGACTTACCCTATTAAAACTCAATCAAAAACGCAAAAAACCGCATCTTAAATAGTATAAATAGAAGCAGAGTTCTTTACTGTAAGCCTTAATCCTGTCCATCTCCCCCCAGTGCGGGAAATTTCGACACGTATATTATATAAAAATACGTGCGTATTCGAATGCAGCGTTGTATCAAAATTTGAAAGGAATCGGTAGGAACAAACGAACATTACATTTTTATTTATATAAATAGATAGAAGATGATCCACTTTAGTTTATTTTCACAGAAAAGCGTAATGCCTCGCAGAAAAGCAAACTTAGGGCGTCGTGCTCGTAGCGCCATCTGTTTGACATAAAAGCCTTAACCTAGATTATATATTTTAATTTATATGAATTTTTAACGGAATAATACACAGCCTATGTCCACCCTGAGGTTCCATTTTAAATATTGGTGAAAGAATTTTTGAAATCGGATGAGTAGTTTCGGAGATTACCTGCTGCAACGAAACTTACATACATACAAACATTACCTCTTTATATATTAGTATAGATTATTCAGAGGGTAGCTGAAGAACTACATTCAAGATTCAATTGTCAAACATTTAACTGGGATCAGATCTTTCAGAATTATACGTAACCTGCTACAACGTATTAATATAACTTTTGAAATTAATAAAAATCTCTTAGGATAATCAGAATTATTAAATAATAACTCATGAGTTGTGATTTAATAATTTATGTCATCTTGCTTTGTTCGTGAATCCGGTAAAATAATAAAGAAAATGTATTGAAACGAAGTAAACGAGGGCTATATAAGTAATTTAATGACATAAATAAGTATATATTAGCAACGTGTTAAAAAGGATGTTGCTATTATTCTTGAAAACGTTGTACACATCAACAGGACATACACTCAAATTATGGTATTTTGATTTAAAAAATAAAATCACAGAAATCCTCTGATTTTGCCTTTTCATTTATTGATCTAAACCATAGACTTTTGCTGCGGTACTTTTTCTTTTACACTAATGATTTCTTTTCCTCTCTAAAAGCATACAATTTCTTTCACGTTTCTATGATAACCACAGGAACAAAACTACACAAATAATATAAACAAAAACAGATAAAGTGAAACAATTTTACACACTTATCTAAAAGTCTGCTAAAAAAAACTAAAGCTGAATCATTCAGTTTATGATTGTAAATGTAAAATGTTTTATTTTTAGTGCAGACAACAAATGATGCTTTGCTTTTATATGAAAAACATATCTATACTTTACCAATTTTAATGCTACAGCACTATTTTAACACTGAAACTATGTTGTTTATTGAAATATAATAAATACTTCATTATGTTTTATTTTTTAAACTTTCAGTTCAGGAGGAAGAGCACATTCAGGAATTCGATATTCACCAAAATTCAGAAAAAGAAAAAAGTTTTAAATATAATATCAGAACAAAGAGGAACGTTCCTTCGAACAGAAAATGGAATAAAATTCATGATAAGATTAAAAGAAAATATTTCAAGCTGATGTTCGCATTTTATTCTAAACAAGAATTTACGTGTGAATTATGTAAACAGACATTTACAAATAAGAGAATATTAGAAACACATCTGTTCTGTCATATCAGAAAAAAACCATTTTGCTGCACAAACTGCAATGAGAAGTTTTTGTGGCAATTTCTTTTGCGAAGTCACATGAAAGAACACCAAACTGAAAATAAAAACGAAATCTCTCATATGAATTTACGTTTGCAGCCATTTGGAAATCGAGTGAAGTCATCTCTAAGAAATAGTAAAAAATCTAAAATCCAGAGGAAAAACGACATTTGTGGTAGACGCGTTCAATATGGTGAAAGCTGTTTAGAGATACAGAAGAGAATACACAAAGTTCATGACTGTAAAATATGTGGAAAACAATTTAGATGGAAATGCCTATTGTTACGTCATGGAGCACGACATAATGAAGAACGTCCTTTCAAATGCGATATTTGTAATAAGGGTTTTAAAAGCAAAATAGAAGTAAAAATTCATCAAGAAACTCATAGTGAAGAACGTCCTTACAAATGCGATATTTGTAATAAGGATTTTAAAAGGAAAGGGGAACTAAAAATGCATCAAAGAACTCATAGTGATAAACGTCCTTTCAAATGCGATATTTGTAATAAGGGTTTTAAAAGCAAAATGGAAGTAAAAATTCATCAAGAAACTCATAGTGAAGAACGTCCTTTTAAATGCGATATTTGTAATAAGGATTTTAAAAGGAAAGGGGAACTAAAAATGCATCAAGTAACTCATAGTGAAGAACGTCCTTTCAAATGCGATATTTGTAAAAAAAGTTTTTATCAGAAAAAACAACTAAAACGCCATCAAATTTATCATAGTGAAGAACGTCCTTTCAAATGCGATATTTGTAATAAGGGTTTCCAAAGCAAAAAGCAACTAAAAAGCCATCAAGAAACTCACAGTGAAGAACGTCCTTTTAAATGCGATATTTGTAATAAGAGTTTCAAATTGAAAACGCAACTAAAAAACCATCAGCAAACTCACAGTGAAGAACGTCCTTTCAAATGCGATATTTGTAATAAGTGTTTTAAACGGAAAGATAGTCTAAAAAGCCATCAAAATAATCATAGTGAAGAACGTCCTTTCAAATGCGAAATTTGTAATAAGGGTTTTAAACGGAAATATGGTCTAAAAAGCCATCAAAATATTCATAGTGAAGAACCTCTTTTCAAATGCGATATTTGTAATAAAGGTTTCAAATGGAAAGAGAATTTAAAAAACCATCGAAATATTCATAGTGAAGAACGTCCTTTCAAATGCGATATTTGTAATAAGAGTTTTAAATGGAAAGATTTACTAAGAACCCATCAAGTTATTCATAGTGAAGAACGTTCTTTCAAATGCGATATTTGTAATAAAGGTTTTAAACGGAAACAATTATTACAAAGCCATCAGAAAACTCACAGTGAAGAACGTCCTTTTAAATGCGAAATTTGTAATAAGGGTTTTAATCACAAAGGTGTACTAAAAACTCATCAAAATATTCATAGTGAAGAATCTCCTTTCAAATGCGATATTTGTAATAAGGGTTTCAAATGGAAATGGCAACTAAAACCCCATCATAAAACTCATACTGATGAACGTAACTATTCTTCTTAGGTATGTAAGAAAAGGTTTATAATCAAAATGTTTGATAAAAAAATGTTTGATAGCTCATAAAATCGTTTATAATGAGAAATTCAACCATACTTGTGATAGGCCTATATGTAACAAATATTTTAAAACAGAACATTATTTGGCATGTCGTGAAGTAGTTAATAATCAATTTGATCATACGTAATACGTACAACTTCCAACGTGTTGAAGGTGTCACGTGCTACATCTCACACTCTGGCGTCAAATTGGTAGTTTTGAGTTTTAACTTACGTGCTTTCCTGTCTCATTATGTGAGTTGCAACTCACGTTGAGTCGAGCATGTGATATCGCTGCACGAAAGTGAAAATGGCTGACGGATACGCAATTTTTTTCGCTATAGAAGAATTAGAAAGAGCCGAAAGACGTCGTTTGAGAAGGCAACGAATTTTTACGACCAGGAGTAATGCCACTTTTTTTCATGTCAAGTCAATACTGTACTAATAAAAAAAATTTATTCATAATTGATAAAATTATACAGCAAATTTTTCGAAAAATAAAAAGAAATATCTAATTCATCGAAAAAGTGTTTTAAAATGATAGTAAATTATATGTATAAATTATTTAAAGCATAGACACTAAATTAAGATTATTTATTAATCAGAAATGTCAACTTCTGATTAATAAATAATCTTAATCGACAAGTTCAGATTGAGAATTTTTTTAATGAAACATACAAAAAATTGGTACATACTTGGCGCCGTTTACACACAGCCAAGTAAATCCAGAAACAAAAAAAGTGAATACAGTGAATAAATATAATTGAAATATTATATAGAAAAACATAAAATTAAAATTAACAAATAAGAAATGATAAAACATTTACAAAATACAAGAATAATATAAAACAATACACAGAAAACAAAAACGTAGCGACATTGTGGTAGCCCACCTAAAGATACACTATGCGACAGGGAGGTTCTGAGAAGCCTCAAAAAGTTTTTGTCTTTGAATTCTGTCGTTTCTTTTCTACATGTTTTATGTTCTTTCAAATCCTTTCATGTTATTTCTTACATTTGTCACTTTTTCCCTTTTTCTTCTCTTTTTTCTTACCTCTCTTTCTTTTGTCCTACTTCCATTCCTTGTTTTCGTTCTTCACTTCACTTCACAATTTAAGTGTGTCGTTGACCTACAAAAGTCAGTTTATAATTTTTAATTTTCTAGTAGGTTAAGTGGACTTGCTACCACATAGATAACATGCACCAAAATAAAAATGAGGTCAATGAGAAAGTTCCTCAAGGTTCTATTATTAAGAGTTGAATTGGCGCCAGTTACGCCCATGCTGCGAAAACACAGTTGAGATTTCAAAGTATTCCACTAAGGGTTCCACAAACATTTGTTTGTTTAAGTAGGTTTGGGAATGCGGTACGATGAATCCTATATCCTAAGGTGGCATCTCTGCAAACCCTGAAAAAAAAAGGATATAATGCAGTGAAGAAAAATCACTGACGATCGAGCGGTGTCTCGAAATTGTGCTCGGTGCGATTCCAGCTGAAACCCAGTCACAGTCAACACCAATACATAGAGCTCATCCATAAAAGAGACAGCCACAAGCAAAATGGGATAAAGAAAAATATTCTTCAGCACTAATGTATATAGAGTGCACTGTAAACTTAGTGCTGCAGTCTTGGTCATCTGTCTGCACGTAAACAGTATACTGTAAGGTCTCTTTTTATGCGGATTATTTTTATGCGATTTTGAAGTTGTGCGGTTTGTATTTCATTCAAAAATTTCTTGGACAAACATACAAATAGGCTTGTTTAGGAAGCCCCCGTATAGACAGTCTCCAAAATTCGTGGAACGCTCAAAGCTCACTCCATTTGTTCCACTGACATATAACGTTTATGGATGTAAAGGACGGCTAGATCTACCTTAATCGCTTTAGTTCCTAGCAATTTTTGATATAAATATAATTAAGCATAAAAATACTTAAAACTGAAAAAACGAAAGAATTAAAAACAGACATTTA